TGTCTTGTTCTGTCCTATTCATTGTGTATCTCGTGATCTTCTAGCTGACACAACTTGTGATCACAGTTGGGGGAACTGGAAGTAGTAAAAATTGTGAGAGAGGCATACCATCAGAAGAGAGCTCATTGGCCTGGAAATCAATAAAGTGTGTAATTAAAAAAACCCCAACAATCCCTCAGAAAACATTGCCTAGAAAAAGGTTTTGTAAATACAGGGTGGAGGAAATCTTACTTGCATGTCCACGTCCTTTCTGGAGCTCGAGGTGTATACCTGTAGCACTGAAGACTGACTATAGCCTATATTATTAGGATAAGTACTTACTGTAGTGAAACAAGTAGGCGTGAAAGAGAAATGCAAGAACTAAAGTTATCATCGATCCATCTAGCCATCACTAGATTACAGAGTGGCTGGTAGCAGATATGTAGAGACAAGTGTAATAACAGAGTCTGTGCAGAGCAATTATTCTTCTACTAATTTTACCTTCCTAACTTCTAGCATTCAGTAGGTAAGGAAAGTATTTGGGGAGGAGAGTGTTTTTAAATAGGTAACTGCTAATGTTACCTCCTTAATGTTTGTAATGAGATGCAGAGAGTCTATCTGAATTGGCATATCTCTGGACTATACTCTAGGTGATCTCCCTTCCTTCCTCTCTCCTTTTATTTCCTCCCATCCTGCTTTCCTTTGCTTTTTCTTCTCTTGTTGCAAACCACATTCTCAATGAGTGCACTAAACCCAAAATCTCTTGAACAGGGACAGAAACAATAAGCCATCTGTATCTGACTGTGCCTTGTTTGTGCAGTATTCTTGCGAGATTAGATTTCAAAATACTTTTTTTTATGCAGACTGACATTTCTTTAATTGTTTGATAGTTATAAACATTTTCTGAGTATGAATTAACTATCCCTTCTCATGTACACACATTAAAAAGAAAGCAGTTACATGGCAAACTGTTCTTCTGTTCTGTGAAGTTTAAGCTGGTAAAGTAGAAGTTTGTTTTTAACAAGTTTTGTTCTTTTGAAGAGTTCCTGCTTGTGCTAAATATGGTCATGAAAAAGGGGAAAAATGTATTAGAATGATACTATTGTTTTCCTTGGGATTAAAAATGCATTATTTATAGGTCCAGTCAGACACAGCTCAGAACTACACTATTTACTATTCTGCAAGTGGACCGGGAATTGATCAAGATCCAAAGGGTTTGTTTTACATAGAAAGAGAAACTGGAAATATCTTTGCTACCCGTGCAGTAGACCGTGAACAATATCCGAGCTTTCAGGTACAGGCCTAAACTGTGTAAATATAATTAAATCTTTTTTTCTGTCATGCATGTATTTGAAGGCTGGGTGACAGGGGAAACTGGGAGCAGACAAGATCTGTTCTGAGTAATATCTTTGGTGTTGTAGAGATGAAATTGGTGACAAATAAAGAAATATCTGGTTGTCTGCCTCTACAGAGTAATTTTGCCTTTCACTGCTTAGACTAATTACAGCATAAATTAGCTATTTATGCTATAAATTACAGCATAAGTGAGCTATTGGATTTGCATCACTTTTGAGAAGAGTTTGAAATTATCCCGGAGTTTTTCAGGGAAGGTTGGAAAGGTGGCATAAAAACAAAATAATGAGAAACTGTAGACGGCTGTGTTTTTTTTGTGCCTCTCAAGCTGTTTTGGTGTTTTGTTAGCAAGGTACACTGCTCTCTCTGCTGGCTGAGATGTGTAAGGCGGCAGTAGAAACAGCTTCCAAATAGGTAATTTGCAGTACCTATTACTGTATTTTATTAGATTATGTTGTAATGGACAGATAGTTTTGCTGTTGTTCTTGATTTTGTTCTAAATAGAAATACTTACTTCAAAATTTTTGGTAAGGCTGAGATTGCCTCACAGACACCTGGAAAAAATGTGTTCAAGCAACTTGGAAAAAAATGTTTGACAGAGTTAGGACTGGGGAGAAAGGGATTCAAATACTTGCAGTGCGAGGAAAGGAAGGGGGAAAGATTGGAAAGCATTTAAAGGGTTTGTGTCGCTGTCATTGTAAGGTGTCAGTCACTTCCTCTTTCATGTGACTGAAGAGCCTGGGCTTGAGCAGGTTATGCTTTGCATGCTGTATTTCATTTTATTGACTCTTCCTTTGAACTGAAAGCGTAATAATACTTTATGTTGCTTAAGCATGAAGTGAATTGCTGAATTTATGTCTTACAGATCATTTGCTTTGCAACCACTCCAGATGGTTATTCACCAGAGGTACCACTTGTGCATACAATCAGGATAGAGGATGATAACGATAATGCTCCATATTTTACACAGGACCTTTTTGAGTTTTCTGTCCCTGAAAATTCCAAACCTGGTAAGAATTGTACTAAATTGGTCAACACAGTTACCACTGCTCAGCCCATTTACATACCAGTATGACTAAGTGTAATCATGCCTTTTAATCACATTCAGTGGCATTTCCTAAGGAGTATTTTCTTCACAGCAAAGACTGAATTTACGAAGAGCAGCTCAAGATTTCTTAAGGATCAGAAATTCCAAAATGCCATCTCAATCGTATTGAAAAGTATTTTTTAAAATAGAAGTTTTTAAAAACTGAAATTATTCAGTGTTTCCAAAATGGTGTAGGAAGTTCAGAATGTTTTTCTTTTCATTTTATCCAAGACACCTGTTTCCATAAAATGTTTTGATTTACAGAACAGCAGTTTTTAACAGTTAGTTTCTTAAACAACTAAATTGGTGGTGCTCTAAGTTATAAAAGGACTTTGATTAAGCTTACAGATTTTTTCTGAGCTCATGAACTAAGGTAAGACTTTTCCTGAGAGAGGATGGGAGGGGCAAAGTATTGCTTCTGCCCTACCTGTAAAAGGCAGAGATTTGCCTGTTACTGACTTCACATGTCTGTAATAGAGGACAAAAGCAGGGAGAAGGGTGGACCCCAGAGAATAAAGAATGCAAATGCCATGGTTTTGCATTCCTTGCTCATCTCTTAGGCTAGGGCTATAGCGTGGGGAAAGTCTAACGTGCTTCACAAAAAAGGAAGCAAAGTATCTTCCTCTTCACCCCAAAACACCAATTGCATTTAATTATCTGAGCTGTTCTACTTCTTACTGTTACTGATATAAAGTGGAGTTCCGAAACTTCTTGGGCTATAGGCATAAAGTACAGCAGCTCTCCCCACAAAGCAGGACTGAACCTTTTCCTCCATCCCCACTGTAACTCCTCTTCAGCTGTGTTTAAGATGGTCAGTTAGAATGCACTGTCAAAAACACTAACTGAATTATAGACTTTTAGTATTTCTTTCTGACAGCTGCAATAATTTCAACTTTGTCTATGAAGGAAAGAAAAAAGTAGCCATTACCATATTTTAGTACTATTTACCGTGTTTTAACATTACTTTCATTTAAAGCTAAATGATCAAATAGCTATTTTCATGCATCTAAAATATAAATACCTGTTCAAATAGTTTTTGATTATTTACGGATTTTTCTGGAACAAAAAATTGCTGTATTCTGTTCACAGGTGTCATTGTTGGAAAGGTGACTGCGGAGGACAGAGATGAGCCTTATACTCTGCATACGACGTTGAAATACCGCATTGTGTCACAAAATCCACCAGTAACTCCAGCATTTTCTTTACATAGCGACACAGGCGTCATTGCTGTATTATTACCACAGCTGGACAGAGAGGTGATCTTTCCTGAAGCACGTTTAGCTGTCATCTAGTGCACACAGATAGCTTCTTAACTGAACTGCTGGCACAGGAATCACCAGATAAATCATTACAATTTTTGTTTCCCTATCTAAAGAGCTTCTGAAGCTTACCAGAAATCTGTAATTTGTCCGAAGAGTTTCTGCGTAGATGTACCATATTCTAGCTAATCTTGGCAGGTGACCTCCTACTGCGCTTCTATTTGACCTATGGGTTGAAAGTCCTATGGATTTTTACTCTTTTTCTGTTCATGCATCCCATGAGCCAAAAAATCCTAATCAAGCTCCATTTGAGGTGCTGCTTGCTTCTCTACAGGGAAGATGAACCAGCCTTTCTGGAAGTAATCAGTCATCCTGTGCTTAACAGAAATATCTCCAATATCTGAAACCTAAGCAGCAATATAACATTTCCGAAAATTAAAGTACAAACCATTTATTCTTATCAGCTAGCTTTGAAGTAAATATGATACAGAGGTTTTTAGTTATTATTTTATTACGGATTTTTTTAGGGGAGGGAGTAAAATGTGTTATGAGATATCATTTATGCTAGAAAATCTGACAGGCATGTGTAATTCAAAATAATATTTCTAGCATAAGATAGTCATTCTAGAAAAAATCACTGCTACAGGCACATCTTTTCTGAGGATAAAGAGAGTCTCATTCTGGCATACTTACGTTGCTTCATGGCTGAAAGTCCACGTTAGCAGAGTATTGCAGAGTTATGCAGTTGCAGGTACACTGCTCCACTTTTTTAGCAAGAGAAAAATGCAGTGACTCTGAGCGTCACCATGATTACTGAAGAAAATATCACAGTGACTACTGAGGGAAGGAAAGCTTGAGACATTAGTCCACTGCCTATCTTTTAAAGATAAATTTATGAAGTGGAACAGGAGGGGTGTTTTTTCTCCACCTGAGAAACCTAATGCTATTTCCAGGCACTGAATTTAGAGCAGAGTTAGGGAACTGGAGTAAATTATTTAGTTCTATTCTTGTGTGTAATTACGTGATTAAAAAATGAGTATGCCAAACTTCTTTATGCTTTTATTCCTCTTTTCAGCTGGTACCCAGTTACACTTTGTTAGTTGAAGTGAGAGATATGGCTGGCCAGCCTTTTGGTTTGTGTACTACAGGAACAGCTGTCATTAGAATTGAAGATATGAATGACAATGCACCATGCTTTACACAAATGCAAGTAAGTCTTCTTAAATGGAATGTCTATTAAAAGGAAAAAAAAAAAGACAAAAAAAAAAAGACTATTTTTATTCCCTTTCTAGTTTCCTGAAGGGTAGTCCCTCAATGAAGCCTAACGTCCTGATACAGTTAGTGCCAATATAGGCATTTCAGAATATCCTTTTCACTGGTACAGTGTTTGTTAATTAGACCTATTGTTATGTTAGTTGCTTTGATTCATTTGCCTTATGTCCTGAGGGAAAGCTGACATGACTTATTCGTTCACCTCTGCTGCAATGGCATAGTCTTAGAAATCCCATAATTTAGCCATTTTCAGGGAGGGGACAGATTCACTCCTAGGCATTGTCATGACCTTGTTACCATTTGGTCAACTTTTGGGTACTTGTATATTGCAAATGAGAAAGTTAATGTCAATGAAGCAAATGAAAGGATTTTCACCAACATTTTCTAGGTTTTCCAACTCTTTTTTTCTTCTACAGAAGTGTTGTTTAAACCCCTTCTTGTTCACCAACAGCTATAACTCATACTTAAGTCTTTGTTTATTGCAGCCATCTGTATGAGAGCATGTCTTAATAACTATCTGTAGAACTCAAATACCACAGGAGGCTTTGTAAAATGAAATTCATAAAAAATAATTCATTACCCATGAGGACTACACATACCTTTCCCTTTCCATTCGCTCCTCTAAAATATTATCAGTAATATTAATTCAGAATCACTCAAGAAGCACAGATAACATAGCTCTTTCAAAAAATAATAAAGTAAGAAGAATCCTTTCATCCTTTGCCATCCAAGTTGAGATGTATTTCACTCTTCTTGGCTTTTCTTCAAGTTCTTGTGATTTGTTTATATATATGGTGTTTGGGTTTTTTTTTAATTTATGCCCATGTCTTTTCTAATGCTCAGCTTGATGATGTAGGCAAATTAGCATGTAGAGCTGAAGTAACTGAAGGGAACTGTGCTAATTTACTTTTCCTGGAAGGAGAATTCCAGACTGAGTTATATTAGTGATAGTGTATGAAGGAGCTGAGATTTCAGCTGTGCTGGCAGGAAAGGTTTACTGTTTTACTTAGGGTGTAAGGAAGAAGTGGGGGAATTATGCTAATGTGAGCATTTCTTATGCTAATGTGAGCATGTGCTAATTTCTTGTGAGACCTCACTTGGAGTATTGTGTCCAGTTCTGGTGTCCTCAACATAAAAAGGACGTGGAGCTGCTGGAGCAAGTCCAGAGGAGGGCCATGAGGATAAGAGGACTGGAACACCTCCCATATGAAGACAGGCTGAGAAAGTTGGGGCTGTTCAGCGTGGAGACCTCATAGCAGCCCTCCAGTATCTGAAGGGGGCCTACAAGGATGCTGGGGAGGGACTCTTCATTAGGGACTGTAGTGGTAGGACAAGGGGTAATGGCTTTAAACTTAAACAGGGGAACTTTAGGTTAGATCTAAGGAAGAAGTTCTTCTCAGTGAGGGTGGTGAGGCACTGGAATGGGTTGCCCAAGGAAGTTGTGAATGCTCCAACCCTGGAGGTGTTTAAGGCCAGGCTGGACAGAGCCTTGGGCAACATAGTTTAGTGTGTGGTGTCCCTGCCCATGGCAGGGGGGATTGGAACTAGATGATCTTAAGGTCCTTTCCAACCCTAACTGTTCTATGATTCTATGATGCTATAATGCATGAAAACAAAGTAAATCATTACAGCAGCTTGGTAAATTGACCGCTTGGATTTAAGTAGTCTTACCTAAATACAGTGTTCTTCAGTCCAGCATCATGGAATGGTGTTCTTCAATTTAAATTGATTTTTTTTTTTCTTTTTTTTTTTTTTTCTCTGGATACTCCAAGTATGAAACACGAGTGGAGGAAAACAGAGTGAATGTAGAAATACTGAGAGTCTCTGTTGTTGATCTTGATGAACCTGGTTCGCCTGGCTCAGGAGCAGTATATGAAATTATAAAAGGAAATGATGATCGGTCCTTTGAAATTACAACAGACAAAAACACAAATGAAGGAATACTGTGTGTTGTTAAGGTACGTAGAAATGGAACTGCTACAGGAAAATTTGTATGTCTTCAGGTGTTGCTTTTAAAACCAATAATCTAGAACTTATTCGAAGAGTATCAGTAACTATCAGGGAAATCGTGCTTTTTTTCCTGATCTGAACTCTCTTCTGGTGCAGATTGCATAATGCACTGCAACTGGGCTCGTGTGTGTACATAACCTGCAAAACTCATCATCCAGACTACTCCTCAGTTTTGCACATCATTCAAGGAATTATCTTTGGTTTGTCATTCCAGAATAGCTTGGTGCTTTTGCCTCGTTCAACAGTTGGAGTTGTTTAGACTTAGGGATGTAAATGAGGAATGCTTCATAGTTGGTTTTTTAACAGAAATGGAAGTGTTGCAAAGGAGGGGAAGGATGAACACCTCCTCCAGCCTTGTCCTCTCTGTGAGTTGATTTAACTTACTAATTGAGGATAAACCTCTCCAGGTTTTATTTTGCAGGGTAGTGACTTCAGGTTTGCTTTTCTAGAATGTGAGGGAGTACGTGTACATGTAAGACTATGTGTCAGTTTAGTTACTTGTTATACCTAGTACTTTACAGATGTGTCCTTTTATCAGGGCATCCTTTATCAGCTTGACCTTTATCATTATGCTTCATTATGCTGTTTTTCATTATCTGTTAAAACTGCAATGGCAAGAAACTTCTAAGGATCAGGCAAGAATCACGGAAGATTAATATTAAATTTTGAAAATGTAAATTATAAGGGCAAGATGCCAGTTAAGTTTGTTTTTTTTTTTTTATTTTTTGTTTTTTTGTTTCTGGTAATTATTAGAACCTTTTTTTTAAAGGTATGTCCTTGGTTTACAAACCAAGTTGAAATTTCTTATGTTTAAAGTAATGCTGTAGTAGACTAAAGAGTATTATGTCTTTAGGTTATAAATAACTCTATTAAGGGTATACATTGACATTGGAGAAGTTGTCTGAAGAATAAATGGAAGATACTGATCAATACCACAACTCTGTATGGTTCCGATTATTTGCAATGGATGAAGTCTTACTAGGAAATAAATGTAGGTGCTAGCAAGAAACATGATTGACCTGTGCTGGAAAGGAAATATACATAACCTAAAAAAAAATGGCCAACTAGGTATGGGATGAGAAGATCCTCTACAACATGTAATTCTTATCTTGGTTCTATTAGTAAGTGACTATCAGAATATTCACCTAAAATTTTACAGTGGCGCTGCTTACCTTATTAGGGGTATTTCCTCAGGTTTTCTTTGACTAACTTAGAACTTGACTTTTTTTAAATCATGTGTCAAGCTGGATGTTCCAGAAGGATAGCTGATTTCTTTTGTACATACATGTGGTACAATTTTATCTATTTAATAATTGGGCACTGAAAACAATACGAAGTTTTGTATTGGTTTGAAAGAAAAAAACCAACACCCCATCTCTTATTACAGGGACTGGACTATGAAAGTGCCAAGCAAAGGATCCTTGTGATTGCAGTCAATAACGAGGCACCCTACATGTTGGCACCACATTCACAACAACTTTCTCAGAGCACCAGCTCTGTTACAGTGCACGTCTTGGATGTGGATGAGGGGCCAGTGTTTAAACCCTGTCTGTTACGCATAGATGTTAAAGAATGTGAGGACATTGGAACAATTATTGGGAGATATGTAGCAGAAGATCCAGAAACTGGAAATAGTGAAGGCATAAGGTATGAAAAAAAGTTACTTACTAGTTTATTTAGAGTACAGCATGAGTGGGATATGGGAAGGGAGAAATAGTTGTTGATGCTGTATGTGTGTGTGCATATGTGCACACATGATTGTGTGTGAATACATGTATCTCTATGTGTGTATATGTTTGAGATCTTTAACTAAGCAAATTATTCTTGACAGCTACCGGATAGCACCTGGCCAATGTAATTGGATCAACATAGATGAAAAATCGGGAGAAGTCAGAACTGTTAAAGTCTTGGACCGAGATGTAGGAGAAATGAGACGAGGTCAATGCAATATCACAGTCCTTGCAGTAGACAGAAGTGAGTACTAAATGTTTTCGGTATTCTTTGTGGTCTGTAACAGATACTTACGTGCAAATTTAGTGTAAGGACAGCTATGTTGTTTCAGACCAGAGGTCCACATAGTCCCTTGTCTTGTCTTTGGGATAGCTCTGTCAAATGCTTAGGGAATATTGTACAGCAGGGAAAGCATTTAAGAAATTGGGCACATTCTCAGTGTTTTCAAAAGTTATCTGCTTCCATTTAAAATCCTTCAGTTAAGTTTAAATTGAGGTATTTTCCTGTGTATTGCATTCCTTTTGTTTCCCAACTCTTTTTTTATATGGTGTCATTTGGCAGCTGAGAAGTTGACAACAGAAAGTAGAGAGAGACCTTGAAAAGTTGTTGACCTTGCAACTTTTTCTGTTTCCTGCTCTGTTTGACTTCTTGGTGTTGTGCATTTAGAAACCCTTAATTTAAGGACCTCTAAGAATAGCTGTATTCATTGCTGTGTGTTATTGTGCTCTTATTCTCAGTCATCTAGATTCTGTAACAGTGTCAACACTATGTGTTGCTCAAGTGATAAGCTCTCACAAATTGCTCTGATCGTAAAGAAAGGGTTATACACTCAGATTCTCATTCTAAAACAGGTTTTTGTTCTGACTTAATGTGAGTGATCATCTAATTAATTTGTGTATATGCATTTATTGTAGGAAAAGATGTAATTTTGCCTTAACACCATGCACACAAGAAGATTAAATAGACCTTTCACTTCCCAAATGCTAAATGTAACAAATAAATTATCAAAGAAAAATGTTAGGTCACCAGTCAAATTCTAAAATAAGTATCTTGTATTAAAAAGGAAAAATAAACTGCCTGTATAAATCCAGTGGCAGGATTTAGTTTGAGCCCTTATGTGCTTAAGCCACAGTAGGAATAGAGGACAGACCTTTGAAAGTTGCTTTACAGCTAAAAATCCTAACTCTAAAGCTTGCATATTAAAATTAAATGTAGATAATATGAATTTAAATTGTTTAGAACTTCTGTTGCATATAAAGGAAACATCTGACTCAGAGGGAAGAGGACAGAAAGAAGCCCACTGTTTCTGAAAGTGTTCATGTTCCAAGGGAAGTGAGAGCAGGGAAAGTGTAATCTATTTCCTACATCCAGAAGTGAAAAGGCTGGAGATCTTCACTTTCTGCTTTTGGCTGTCAGTTTGGCTTAGCGTCCTTTTGCCCTGATTTATGGGCTCTTTCTCCTCTCATCATCTTAGAACAGTATCTGTGCCCACACAGATCTCAACAAAATACGTTGTATGCACATTCAGAATATGGAACTTTGGGAGCTGTTGATCCATTCTACAACCAGCCAAGCAAAGAGAGGCAGCCAAGAGTGATCTCTGGGAGCCCTCCTCTATTTTTGGCTAAATCAGCAGCTGCTTTCCACCTTCCTTCTGAACTTGGATGTTAGAACTGATGACATTTTGTTGTTAAAGTTTGGAGTAGAAATAGATAAGTGAATGTTATAAGTAAGAGCTAAAAGTAGTTATTTTCATCTCGTAGATGGCAAAACAGGCACTGGGACAATTCAGGTTTTCATCGTGCCTGGGAACAAGAATTACCCACGAATCATGAAAACCGAGTATATCATGTGCAGAGACAGAAAACCGATCTGCCTTACTGCACAGGATGGTGATGAGTCTCCCTACAGCACACCCTTCGTATATCGCATAACTGACCGTAGCTTGGCTTCCATGTGGAAGATAACTCGACACAATGGTAAGATAAGACTTCCTCCTCCTCACTTAGCTGTAGGTTGCCAGAGGAGGTTTTGCTGCCTCTCCCTTGGGGGGACTGTAAGAATAGATTAGATGAATGTATGTTAGGAAGTGGTGTACTCATGGGGCTAACAAGGTAGGCCTCATGATCTCCAGTGGTTCCTCAGTTTCATCTGCTGTACAGGAGGAGATCAAGAGTATGCCAGAAATAAAAGGAAACAGCTAAAGTATTCTTTATTTTAACTGTCCGGGGCTTGAAACAGTTCACAGAAGTTAAGAAGGTGGCACTGTTTGCATCACAAAGGGAAGGAGAAGGATAATACATTCTGCCTCTTAAAGCATAAACAAGAATCTATCTCCAGCATACTGGGGTCAGCAATCAGCTGCTGTCTGAAATTATGATGAAAAATATTAGGTGGGAGGATAAAAATCGATGTAATGAAGTGTATCTTCATAATTTATAAGGAATTTAAGACTGAAATAGATCATACTCTAAAGAAAAATACAACTTTTCTTAAGCTGTTATTCATGGTTGAGAACTGAAAAACTGCAGTTTTACCTAAAATTGATTAGATGCTGACTAAAAAAATCGTGGCAGTTTTTTCTTCTTAGTACTGCAGTCAGCCAGCACATTTTTGATAAAGCTGAGCTGGGTGAAAGAAAACATTAGTATCTCCCTTAATGTATTTCTGTTAACTTTTGTAATTTCAATAGAAGCTGTTAAATCATTTATTATCAAAGGAATTGCTGTTTCCTGGTTCCTAAAATTTGCTTATATAAGGAGTTACAGCTGATGGTGTTTTCTTGGTGGATGCTAGGTGTTGGCAACAAGAGCAGCACATACATTTGCTGCTATGTTGTCATGAATTAGACTGAAAAGGATCTGATTCTCAAGCGTTCATCAAAAATCACTATGAAAGGCTAAAGACAGCAAAGATGTCTAAGAGATGTTTATATTAGGCAAATTGAAAAAAATTTTTTGGATAATAGATGTATTTTCATATACCTCATCATAAAGTAGCATTATATACATCAGCATGTGTCTTGTACGTATTTTTCACAAATGATTTCTTTTGCTTTTTAAAACACGTGGTCATTAATCATTGCTGCTAAGGAGGGCAGCAGACTAAATGGATTTTACTTCCCAATGAATATAGCAATAGAGCTAAAGAGTGGAAGAAATATAAATTAAATTTGCAGTTATTCCACCTACATTACCGGAAGTCCTTTTAATAAATAGCAGTTCAGTTGATGGTCTTTACTAGTAAGCCCAAATAGTTTCATTTACTGTATTCAACTGAACAGAGTTTCAAATCATATGATGTCAGAAAGCTGTGTAAGGTTTGCTTTTTCAATTCTAACATTTAAAAGGTGCTGGATGTATCAATACTCTCAAGATGTAGTTTTGTGTTAACACATTTAAGCTAGCTTTAAGCTAGCTAATGCAGATCTGGTAGCAGTATAGCTGTAACCACAGGGAATATTGTGACTATGTACGTATTTGTGACAACAGAATTTCAGGTATTGTTAACACTAGATCTGGTTTTGTCTGTGGGTTTTTTTTTTGGTTTTTTTTTTTTTTTTTTTTTTTTTTTTTTTTTTTTACAGATAATTCTGTGTATCTTTCACCAAAGGGTGATATTCCATTTGGAACATATGATATTCCTATAAGTGTGATTGATAATGGAGGAAAGGTAGGAGAGAACCACATAAAAGTCAACCTCTGTGACTGTGTTACTCCAACTGAATGCAATGGTGGCCAAAGCCGTGAACTTGCTGGTGGAAATGTTACTCTTGGTGTGTGGGCCATCCTTGCAATGATCTTGGGGTCGCTATTATTGCTGCGTAAGTATACTTGTTCTGTTTTTTTAACACTAAATGCAAAATACTTAATTTTAAAATTAGCTGAAGGCACCTGATTCAGACTTGATTCAAGCATTTCTCTTTTTTATTTAGGCAGTTGTATAGCTGTCATCACTGACTTAATGTGCCTGCTCTGTTTGTATCTGTATCGCAGGCTTCGTGCTCTCATTTTGTCCTGTAGTTACTGTGTGTGGATTTTTGCTTATTGTTCTAAGTAGACTTTATGTAAAATGTTCTGTGTGTTCATGCTAGCAAGGCCAAAAAAACTGCATTCAGAACTTGAACCAAAAAAGGATGGGAATTGTAGTGCTTATCAGATCTTACCTTGAACAAGTATAGTGAAATTTGTGAGTTTAGTGCTGGTTTTGGGACGCACATTTTTGTTTCTAGGGATGCTGAAATCAATTTCCTAGACCTTTTTCTGACCTTTCTTGTGTCATGGATTAAAACATGGAGTATCTGAGACACTGGATTTCACAAGGGATTTTACAAGAGCCAGTGTAATGTTGAAGGATAGGTTGGATACTTCTGCAGTGGACCAAATCCTTGAATACATACTGTGTTACTGGAGTTGCCCAATGTCTGAGAGCAGGTTAATATTGCTGTTAACCAGTGAGGTGGTGACGATGACATGTAAAAGCAAAGCCAGTCCTTTTTCTTTTTTTCTTTTTTTTTTTTTTTTTTGGTGTGTTTTTGTTGTTGTTGTTGTTTGATTTTGGGTATTTTTTTCTTTCTTTTCCATTTTTTCTATTAATGATCAACTTCTCTTGCCCCTGTTCAGTTCTCCGCATGTTCTTATTCAGGTAGATGGGACCTGCATGCATTTTGAGGATTAGATAGATCCATGTTTTCTCCCAAGAGGGCAGGTACCCATATTTGTGGTACAGCCCGGAGGTGGAACTTTCAGATGTGGGGATGCTCAGCAGGAGGACTGTGTGAAACGTCAGCTAGCTTTTGTCACTACGCCTTAACTGTCCTTCCCAGATAGACCCATTATTTTACAGTGGCTAGGTTTTACTCTGTGTGTCTTCTAGTCGGTACTGTCACGTATGTCTTCTTCCCATCTGTCAGCATGAGGGGGCGACCTGCTCGAACCACTGATGCAGATCTCACTTGACAGCAGCAGAAGCTAAATGAGCTTGAAGGTGGCTCTTGGCCAATTTCCGCAGTTTATACGTTCAGAGATCAGATTGCTCAGAGGGCAGTTAGGCAGAACTGTTCTGTTCGTTGTGGACTTCTGTATTTTTAAGCTATCAACTTGAAAACAGAAGGAAAGAGAGTTCTCTGAATGAAATGTTTAATCCTTTGTTTAGGAGAGGTATTGGTTGCTTGTGAGTCTTTATATAAAGTAATTTCTGGCTGAGTCTCCATGACAACACAAAGTAGTATTATAGGAGAAATAAACTGAATACAAGGAATTAAATAAGATTGTTCTGTAACATAATGCTTGAAGTCCTCCAGGGTTCTTCTGACCTTTCCTGTGAAGCAGAAGTTTCTGGTATTGGGACCTTTAGCTTAGGACTTTATCATTGTTCCTTATGATATAACTTGACATCTTCATATTCATAAATGAAAAGTATATGATGTACAACTTTGTTGTAGGCATAAGACATGATTTTTCACTTGGATTTGGTCTAAATTTATTACTGTGAGGTTTCGCAGTCACACTGTTTTCATAAAGGATGCTTGCATTTCTTCAGAGAAAACCAAGATGTGTTTTAGAAGAGTGACTGTTGTGGTTTAAGACATAGTTCACCAGTATAGTGAAAACTCCGTGTACTGTTTGAAAACATTTATATATGTACAGTTTTGAGTATGGGCATTTTTGGAAATGAAGTATTTTTTTAACCTATACTTGATGCGTAGGCATTTTAAAAGGCTACTACTGGAAAATTCATTATCAGACAGAAGATACCATTATGAGGTAAATTTCATAGCATTGTCCTCACTTACTTCCTTTCCATAGTAATCCTGATCACAATCTGTGGCTGCTGTGGCTCTGGAGTAATGCACAGGCATGTGACTGATGATTGTGCCAATCACAATTTAATCATTTCAAATACAGAAGCTCCAGGAGAAGAAGTGATGGTAAGTTGTCTATTTAATTCAGTGTACAAATGTAGAATCAAGATATCCATAGCATTTAAGTTTGAGAACAGATCCACCTGCAAGTAAGTGATTTTAAAAAAGGAAATAAGCAATACAAATAAGAATACGCTCAAGGATCATTCGATGTGTTTTGCTATCTAACAAGAATTTGAAAATTCTTTCTTTAGGCTGAGTTGGTAGTACCATGTATATTTAAACATATACTGTAGCTGTTAGTCTGGCTGCTTGTAATTCTTCCAGACTTCAACTGTTAGTTGGAAATTTCAGGTGAACTTCTTAATGACTTCAGTCATTTTCAGCAATGATATTTGGTGGAAATCTACTATTTTGCCTATGTCAAATGCGTCCATGGCAGAACATTACTGCAGGTGCACTTTCTGCCTTTCCCCTGAAAAATGACCCCAAATACAGTTGATTTTTGAGCCAGTGGGGGGAAAAATTAAATAATTGAACAGTCCATGTTCATGAACTACGTTTGTGCTTTTGGCATCTAAATTTTTTTAAGATTCAGTCTACCACGAACATAGTCCAGCCCAGGACTGCATTTATACACAAGAACTTGGCTCTTTCC